ACATCCCAAACTATCAGAATATATCCAAGATGTCGACGGACCCCAAGATTCAGTATGTCGTAACAAGTCTACTTTTCAGTCCCATAGTACTAACAGACCAACTAGGGAGCTTCTCAGCAAGTCGCGCAATGAACTCACGTATGTGACAGGCATCTCCTCCTCTTCATCCAGCTCCGCGACAAGTCCCCCATTGCTAACACATCATCCTTTAGTGAGTACGAGATTGCCCAGCTAGAAGAACACGAGTTCTCTGCCGGCCCTCTATCTATCCTTCAGACCGCCGTTCGATCGCACGTGCAAGTGCTCATCTCCATCCGCAACAACCGCAAGCTCCTTGCGCGTGTCAAAGCCTTCGATCGCCATTGCAATATGGTTCTGGAGAATGTAAAGGAGATGTGGACAGAGACCCCTCGGCTAGCAAACGGGAAGAAGGGCCGCCCGGTGAACAAGGATAGATTCATCAGCAAGATGTACGTTAACAACACAACAACTTGACAATGAGCGGTGACAGGAACGTCGAAAATGGGTGCTGACTTTACTCCAGGTTCCTACGAGGCGACAGCGTCATTTTGGTTCTTCTCAGCTAATAATTCACTACCGTCATGATTTTGGGGCGGCGAGAGCTCGAATCTAAGTATGGGATGTTTGTATGTCTTACGGGCAAGACTCACAGGGACTACATAGGCGTTGAAAACATGTTGATTTCCCCATACCATATTCTGTTCATTACACGTGTTATAAATATTTGCACACTGCCGGTTCCTTCGGCATTACTGGCTTACATTTCCGTCTTCGACCTTGAGACAGAGGCAGAGGTCATAAGACTGCTTAACTGCTCAAGCCCAGGAAGAAGCTGGCCAACCCCCAGGCTCCAGGATCGGGAACGTCCTGATAGCCACTGCCTCCGATATAGACTGTCCGACCCAGGCTGGCTTGCATACCCTTGGTCTTGTTAGCCCCCTCCAGTGCTGCGCCAGCTGCCTTCTTGACATCTCCTGTCTGGTTAAGAGCTTCCACGAAAGGATGAAGGGCGTCGACCAACGTCCGATCTCCAGGGCGAGCAGGCGTGTACTTAGCCAAAGCATCGCTACTCATTTTGAGGGCCTTGGCCCAGATTTCGGGCGAGGCTGTGCCGGGTGACAGCTCACGAAGCGCATGAACCAGGGCGTTGAGGAAGATGGCATATAGAGCTCCAGAGGTTCCATCCATGGCTGTTTCCACAATTGTTACGATTGATGAGAGATCCACGACAACGTCGCCGGTAAGGGGCTGCTCATCAATGTGCTTAAGGATTGCTGTATTATGTCAGTGAACAGCTTTCTCCAGGGGGCCACAATGCGTCGGACTGACCTTCAGCGCCTCGTTTCAACCCGATTCCACAATCACCATCTCCGACGATAGTATCGTAGTGGGTGACCTCTGGTTCGACATCAATGACTTTTTGCAGGCCTTTCTTCAGTGCTTCTTGCGCGGTACTGGGGTCTGTTTTTAGACCACTAGACTTGATATCCCCTGCAGCACCAGCACGGCCGGTTCTTGCATTGGTATTCTTGGCTTCCCAGGTGCTGGCCTGAACGGGTGCGGACCATCCAACCACCTCACTGGGAGCATCAAGCAATTCAATCATGCTCGGAGCTTCGAAATCAGGAGACACCACATTAAGAAGGGAAATGCTGAAGCCGAGACCGTTCAGACTGGTCATGAAAGTTCCACTGAGTATTCTCACGGGCCGGATATTGTAATTTGACTCAAGCTGACTCACAACTTCTGCAGTGATGCCGCCCAGCTCAAGAACGCTGACTCCTCCCAGGTTGTTGATCATGAGAACAACTTCTTTGGAATCAACGTTCACAAAAGCTCGATCCTTGTCTGTGGTATCGAGTAATTGCTTGAGCATTTTACTTACGAGATCAGGTAATTCAGCCTTCTCACGGCCAGAGCCGGGTTCATTGTGAATACCCATTCCCAGCTCCACCTCGTCTGCCGCAAGACTGCCCTCTGCATCGGCCTTTCGCCCAGGAACATGTACATGTTCGAGACTGGCGCCCACACTGACGAGGTTGTCTGCTGTCAGTTGTGCATATTTGGCAACCTGATCAAGTGGCTTTCCTAGAGCTGCGAGGGCACCTGAGATTTTGTGAACGAGAACTGTACCTGCGATTCCACGGCGACCGACTTTTCCGGCTTTTGCACGACCAACACCAACATCGTCGCCAACAACCACCATCTTAACCTCAAGCCCTGCAGCCTTGGCCTTTTCAACAGCCATACCAAAGTTGAGGACGTCACCGGTATAGTTCATTACGGTGACCAGGATGCCCTTTGATGTATCAACACGAGAGGTGATTGCTGTACGTATTTGTTCTGCAGAGGGAGATGCGAAGATGGTTCCAGCTACAGCTGCGGAGAGCATGCCTTGGCCGACCATGCCGGCGAATGAGGGCTCATGGCCGGAGCCACCTCCTGAGATAATGGACACTTGTGCTTTGGCATTGGAATCAGGACGACGATAGATGACTTTAAAGTCTGGATCTAGGGCGAGCGACGGATTGGTGAGGGTGAGACTATGGAGAGCCGAGGAGACAAGGTGGGTTGGATCGTTGACAAAGTGTTTGGCTGACATGGTAATGGACGGAGGGTCATCCGGTATTATCGAGATGATATGAAGTGGTTCTTAATTAAGAAAATATTATTGATCAACTGGGACTGATATCTGAGGTGATTCAAAGCTTCTTAAGTACCAGCTGCCAAGATAACCGCCACAATGGAAGTGGCAATCAGGTGAGGTTATGCTGGCTGTATTCAAGCGATGAAGGATGGATGAATGGAAGCCAACACCGAGCTCAAGTGGGGGAATCGCGGGGTTTGTAGCGGGGTTGGAGCTGTGAGGCCGGGGTAAGGAATATGTCACGGGAGATGCCATTCATGGATATTGGGTATTCGGGTTAGGTATACCGAAGTTCTGCCCACTGTTAATGAGCATGTGGCCATTGACCTGCAATCATGAGACTTGTAAGAGGTGGGCATATGGTATGTTGATGATGGAGCTGTTGAGAACCACGCAATTCCTACGGATGTACAGATTGGAAATGGGGTGGAGTTGAGTCAACTGTTAGGCTTCAGACAGACATGGGAGGCTCAACGAGTTGTTTAACTGCATTGTCTATTGTTAAATGGTTAGGGGGCAGTATAGAGGCGGCATTGCACGTACACACATGCGTGTAGCCGCCGGCTTTCCTATTCAAGTAATATCTTTATTTTCGCCACAATTTGATACTACCTAGCTTGTGAACCGTGTTTTTATAAGCTTAATTAAACGCATTGCAATCCAGCCAAGGCATGTCCATTGCTAATACGCAGCCTACTGATTAATCAACTAACAAGTAATGAAAAAGCAGAAGCGTAATTGTGCACTTACTGGTGTATTGTCTCTGAGGAATAAGGTGGAATAGAATGTAAGTATGATATATTGGCTAGCAGAATCCAATGCAATGATGTCAATAACGTGAAGCCTGCGTGGGCTTCCAGTGTTATCCCGTGAAGCAATTCTGTTCTAACACCAGAATGCTAAATGCGTACTTCGGAAACATCAGACTCATCAATTCCTATTCAGCGCAAGACCTTTTAGGTTGCTGGTCCAAATATCAATAAGCCTAGACGGGATCCTCCATAACTTTGCAACATCCTGCATGCTCTAACTTACAGACAGTACATACTGTACATAGACAAAGTTCAGCTCCAGTGGCTGAAACAATTGCTAGACTGGAAACCAAAGCGCGTTATGGATAAAGAAACTGTCTATCTTGTGTACGCGTCAGGATAATCACAGTGTATACGCATGCTCGGTCAGACATACCTAGGTACGTGTGTATTAAGGCAGGGATTAATTTCCGGTATCGTTCCCACATACCGCTCCACACAGTATAGTATCCCTACCACAGTATTTCTAGAATTTCTTCAAAGGCACACGCTAACGCGGGAATAAAATAACCTAAACCAAATGATTAAACAATGAGTTCCGTGATCCCGGCTTGGCTAACTCGCTAAGTAAAGACCGAATTGCCCTTCCTGGAAACTGAAACACACGCGCCTCATCGACTGTGCACTGCCTACAGTACCTATGTAGGCATACGATACGATGGTTCTTTCAGTCTCGGCCGAATTAAAAGAGATGCTCCATAGTTTGTTATCCGCTCTTCAGGTCATGCAGAAAAGGGATTGAACCAACGATTGGATCGTGCTGGCTCCAGGAACCGCATTTATCCCAGGAACAAATGGAGCAATGCTTACGCTGGAGACGATCATAATCAGGTACTGGGCAGTGTGCAGTGTGCAGTGCATTGCATGTCTGCTTGCGTACCTCCCTCACATTGCTCTCGCCTTCCGTTTCTCGTGGCAGACTCGAAGTCCTATGTAACTGTCACCTGTGTATGTACAAATGTAAACCCCCTGACGATCCACGTTCCCGTAGGATCCATGTTGTTGCTCCGCCTCAGAGCACAAGCACAAGCATCCATCACATCGTATGGCCCCGATGAGCCCGAACCATGATGGGCTCCCACTCTCCTTGGGCAAATTCATTTCCAAAGGGGACCCTTCAACCCAACTTTCAGTGGAGTCCCTGACGTATCGTCCAACATCAATCAATGTCAGCAGTGGCCATGCCCACAGCAAAAAATTGGGGTGTTTCGAGCATCCATCCCCCTTCTTGCCATGCCAGTTTTAGAAGGAAGGACGTCTTCTCTTTCTGCATATCGATCGATTCCCATTTCCTTGACGATTTCCTTCTTTCGTTGTTCTTCCGCTACTTACTTGGGTACACTCTTTCATCTTCGTGGTTGGATATTTCTATCACCATATATCGTTGAATTCAGTCTTGGCGACGCACGCCTCTAAGTGAGATACACGAGCCGAGCTTGGCATCAAGCAGGGTCCAGTCCATCTGTTATTCCCGCCTTGTCTTTGTCTTGGTATTCCGAGTTTTGGGTTAAGCTGCCAAGATGCATTCATTACTTCGAACAACCACTACGGTACTTGGCTGGGCAGCAGCTGTCAATGCCTACGACGTAACATGGGATGACAATAGTAAGTTTAATTTTCGTCAACCAAGTAGCGGAACTAACGCATCGTGGCAGAATCTATCGAGAAGGCTGCGGGCCAGGCAGCTTATGGCTTGGTAAAATACTACACAGGAAACAACACCGGCGATACACCAGGAAACTTGCCAGATCCCTACTACTGTAACTCTCCCATGCCAACCGAGCCATAAACATTTATTGACAATGAGTAGGGTGGGAGGCTGGCGCGATGTTCGGTACTCTCGTTGATTATTGGTGGCTCACCGGTGACGACTCTTATAACAACATCACAAAACAAGCCATGATTCATCAAGCCGGCACAGACGGCGATTACATGCCCGATAACCAGACAATGACCGAAGGAAACGACGACCAAGGCTTCTGGGCAATGGCTGCAATGTCAGCAGCTGAGCATCAGTTCCCAGATCCTCCTGAGGACACACCCGGATGGCTCGCACAGGTTCAAGCTGTCTTCAATGAGTACGTCAGTCGCTGGGACGCAGACTACTGCGACGGAGGTATGCGTTGGCAGATCTTTAAGTGGAATACTGGTTACGACTACAAGAACGCCATTTCCAATGGCTGCTTTTTCAATGTCGCTTCTCGTTTAGCGCTGTACACAGGTAACGACACTTATTCGGACTGGGCTGAGAAGTTGTGGAAGTGGCATGAGGATTCTGGGATCATCACCGATAAGTTTGCAGTTCAGGACGGTGTTCACATCAGCGATGCTAAAGGAAAGAAATGTACCGATATCGACAAGACACAGTGGTCCTACAACACAGGCATCTTCCTCCACGGCGCCGCGGTCATGTACAACCTTACGTCGAGTGACAGCTGGAAGAAGCGAGCAGACGGCCTCCTCGATGATGTTTTCAACAAATTTGTCAAAGATGAGATCATCTACGAGCAATTTTGCGAACCTCACAAACAGTGCAGTCAAGACCAACAGAGCTTCAAGGGATATCTTGCACGGTGGCTAGCAGCCACCACGCAACTGTATTCTTCAACAAACGACAAGATCATGAAGCTCATCAAGACAAGTGCCCAGGCCGCCGCTAAAATCTGCACAGGCTCACCCACAGAGGGTTACAAGGGGCCTGCAGGCACAGCATGTGGCTTCTCTTGGACGACGGGTAGCTTTGATGGTTCTGTTGGAGTTGGTCCCCAGATGAACGCCCTCTCGATCATCATGTACACGCTGGTGGAGAGTGCCAAGGGGCCTGTCACCTCCAAGACCGGTGGAACATCCAAAGGAAACCCGGGCGGTGGAAATACGGACATTAACGACAGTGATGGAACCCCTCCAATGAAGGACATCACCACGGCTGATAAGGCTGGTGCAGGTATTCTGACGTTCCTTTTCCTTGCCGGTGTCATCGGGGGTGTTTCATTCTTGGTTATCGACTTTTAGACGTTTAAATTTCTGTAGAAGGGTATGGCGTTGAGAGGCGTTATCTGTTATATGTATTGTTTTCCGGTGTTGACAAGTTGCTGGTTTGGATACCTTGGACTTTACTTGGCCTCAGACTTCTAAGTCAGGCTGCAGAGTTATATTCACGAATGTTATTGACTACGTTGCCCATGTTGATGGACCCGCGAAGATCCATTGAGCAGTCCTCATACTCATGTGTCCGTTTGTTACTTGCTGCTTACTTTTAGCAAATCTCATTCTCAGGCTGCGCTTCGTAGCAATGAGAAACACAGTCTTGAGTCTCAGATGCAAAGAAACCATGGAGTAATGGCTACCGATCGATTCTTAGGTAAATATGCCTCTGATTCACCTCTTTTCATTGAGATCTTATGGTTAAAAACAACCTTATCATTAGACGATCCAGAACTCAGCATATCCATTCCTTTGATGGGCACACTCCGAACCAAGAGACAGGACTATTTTACACTACTCCGTGTCCTTCAAACTACCGTGCTCATCTCTGGACATCCTTGCATACTGTGTCTTCAAAAGGGGAGCATCTGCACTGACAAGGGAGTTAATCCACCTTTCTTCGTCGCCCCCTTCTGTCGTCTTCACCGTCGCATGGCCCATCAGTACCGGATGACAATTAACATAGACATTCTCATACTCGCGAGCCGACACGTTAAACGTTTCGTGAAAGATCCCCACATGCTTCAGCTTAGCCTTATTGACGTAGTCCCATGCCTTGCGGTGTAATTCGTCGTGGGCGAAGCGGTGCAGACTCTCTAAGTCACGAAAGTAGTAGATCAGAAGAAGGGTGTTATTGCTGCTCTTTTCATCTCCGCGCCATGTTGAGGAGCTCAGCATGCCATATTCGTCTCGTTTGGAGGTAAGATCTCTATGCATAGCCTTGAAGTATTTGCTAATTTGCTCCATGCCTGGTGCTGCGAGACCGAGAGGGTGGTTGGTCTGGATTCCGAGATGAAAGACTACAACGGGGCTTGCTCCGGGGATCGAACCAAAGAACCCATTAGAGAAAGGAAGTTGTGCAGTGGCACGGCCTGGTACGACATTATTATTGTACTCATTGGGTTTTGTGCTGTAAATTTGTATCATGGTTGTGATAATGGAGTTGAATAAGACGGCCAAGGGTGGTACGACCGCCCAACGCAGAGGAAGAACGGCGCAGAGAGCAAGTTGAATGAACGATCCAATGGCTACTGTAGTATGAGGTTTGAAGCAGTCTTTGAACATGAACTTATCATGTGTCAGTTGAGAATAAGTATGAAAACAGGGCCCATGACTTACAAGCATCCCCGCTGTTGAGGCAAATGTCAGAGGCCGGGAAGTTGGCTCCAGTTTGGAACGGAATTCTGATTTCGTCATCTTGTGGTCGTTTATCATTCAGTTCGATATTGAGTGCCAGAGTTGGAAGAGTCGCATCAAAGAATCAGCGCGCGTGGTTTGTATATTGACTGTTCTTTCTACTGAGGAGGTTCGGCCGCTACCAGATTATTCAAGTCACAAGTCACAAGGAACATATCTCAGCAATACGTTGACAAAGCGAATGCGAGATCCAGAAGCAGCGATATGCCTCGATGATACTACATACGCGACTCACGTTGGTCTAGTCAAGTCCCTCTCGGTGGTGGTGGCTTGCTCGCACTCGCTTAATGCTCAAAATCTCCGATGAAAGGTGCTTGAGTATTTTCATCAATTGCCATCAAGATATACTTTTGTCAAAAATAAGTCGACAGACCGACCCATGCTACTAGCCAAGCTCGGAACGAAAGCTTGCATCGCTGCAGCCAAGTTTACCGAACTCCATTGGTATATATAATCATGACTGCAAACCCGCAAAACATCGGACTGTTTATTTGACCGCATGTTCACTGTGCTCCGTCCTTATCAAGTTCGACGCCCTGCTACTGCAGGATCACTCAGACTTCGGATAATCTCCACCGTTTGTAGTTACGTCGTCCCATGTCCAAGATCGAATGCATCTCCACTCCTGCTTGGCTGCCCCAGCAACGAACAATAGATGGAGTTCCTGGAGACGAGTCTGACGGTAGATCTGCGTACTAAGTAGCCGAGACTCGATAAATCTGAGGCGCGAATGCCCCTGCTGCTAAATCTTTAAACAACAGTGAGAATGTGCTAGTGGGCGAGTCAAAAGCTCTTGAAGTGAGAATGTTGCTTGTCGCTTAAGTCATGGAAAGATGAGCAAAATTTAAAAGATTTAATAAACTACGAATTGACTTAGAATGTGACGGTTCCCTAGTCGTCACTCATGAGGGTCGTCTCACTATCATAATCCTAAATAACACCAAAAGCCCAAATTGCATGTGCACAGATTCTCAGACGATACGCCCAGAAAACCGACACACAAGCCATATAAGAAGAGATACAATCGACAGAAATAGCAAAATAACTCGGAATATGAGATTCGAACAAGCCCTTCCAAAAGTGCCGACAGCGCGCAACGAAATGGGATTCATTAATTGCAAACTCCGTCAGGGGCAGACGAGCCTCGTTTTCTTTCCTTCTTTCTTTCCTTCTTTCTTTCCTTCTTTCTTTCCTTCTTTCTTTCCTTCTTTCTTTCCTTCTTTCTTTCTTTGTCATCAAATACCGGTCTGTGATACCGAAACTGTGTACGCCTGGCCATTTTTTATGTAAAGAAATGTGTGCAAATCGCTTCAAAAGTATGCTCAACATAATGGAGATGCGCTGCGAAAGGTTGGGACAAAGATTGTCTAAGTGGTGTTCTCCTTGTTTTGTGTCTGATGAGGATAGTTGGGGTCTGTAAGGGACTTCTCCCACTCATCCATCAGGGTTGTCGCGGTGCGTTTGATGTTACTGGGCGAGAACTGGTTGACGATATTAGGGAGAAGCTCTTCTAGCTTAGGAGAGAGCAACGGGGTTTCGTAGCCGGTCGACTTCTTCTTACTATGCCAGGTCAGCATCTTCACTTGCAATTCATCTCAGTTCCAATGCCAAGTGACTTACGAGGGTGAGTCCGCAGGTTCTCCCTCATCTGAAGTAGCAGACATATCGTCCAGTCCACCGCTGCCAATAGTAGATCCACTCCAGCGAGACGTCTTGGAAGATGAGGCCGGAGATTCCCAATTAGACCAGTCGTTATCATCCATCGAATCAAATCCAAGAGGCTGCCAAGAGAAAGACTTGTTCTTGGACTTTGTTTTGCTCCGAGAAGGTAGTTCGGGCCTTTTCGATGCTGTGCTTGTCGAGGTCGAGGATTTGGTCTCATTCGCATTCGAGTTGTTGTGAGGTGGTTCAAATACTGTGCTCACTTTGGGCCGTAGCGGACGACTCAGTCGTACGGTATCCTGGTTTCGATTGCCTTCACCACGTTCGTTGACACTGTTGGATCGAACGGGCTGACCATTGATTGGCTCATCCCCGACTGTAATCTGGCGTATGTCCTCGACAAAAGCCCTGAGGCCCAACTTAAAGTCCTCGACAATCTGTGGAACAACCGGGCCGTTTTGTTGTGTGCGTGGCTGCCACGAGGCACGCTTAGATAAATGAGGGTTTGTTAATTGAGCGGTCCTGCGCTCTATCGAAGGTAATTTCACTTGCTCGTGCTCGTGATCGCGATCCTGGTATAATGAGAATCCTGCGTCTGGTTTCGCCGGCGATAGCAGAGATAGGGTTCTTGTATGTCCGCCACGGAGGACCCTTCTTCGGTTGGGAGTCGCTGGGTTCTGAGTCTGCTGTAACAATTTCCTGCGATCTGAGTCGACACTTCGCCGGAAAGATGCAGCATCATCTTCTGAGGATAAAATAGGACTGCGAAATGCTTCAAGAGGGATGGTGTCGCCCTTCTTCTCTTGTGCAGTCCATTTCTTCTTGAGCAACGATAAATCTGCTTCGGCACGCGACAATTCCTCACGCAACTCGAGCACCCGTCTCTCCTGAGCAGCAATTGCGATGATAAACTCATTTGCGTCAGCAGGAGTGGCAATGCCAGATTCGATTGGTGTCGGGGGGACTGATGACATGGAAGCAGAAGTCGGTGTTGGTCGGGAAGGGTCGCTTGTAGGGGGTGCAATTGGAAGCGTCAAAGAGAGTCGATTGACCTGGCGGTTCATGCTGGATACACTAGATTTGGCACGAGCGTGGCCACGTCTGAAAGGGGCGCTCTCGTCCTTTGAAGCTGGTCGGGAAGGCATTGCTGCTGTCGAAGTCATGCTGCCGTGGCGGTTGTGCGAGGAGGAATTCAGGTGTCTCGGGTTGGACCCCTGAGCCAGGTCACGAACGGGAGCGTACCTAGGGTTGACAGAGGCAGCGACACCGACAGTGGGAGAAGCAGTACCAGAAATGGTCGAATTAGGGGCTGTCTCAAAATTTGAGTTGGATGGAGTGGTGGGAAGAACTAAATCCGCTGGCAGACGGTCGGCAACTGAGTAGCGTCGACGGATAGCTTGTTGTTGCGAGGCCATGCCTATTAACTCGTAGGGATTCGACTTATTGAAAAGTAGGGAACGGAGGCCGAGCAGTCTTCGGCGTTTATGCAAATTGAAATGTAACTGAGAATGGAAATGAGTGGCTGGAGCTCTGAGGGCTCTGAGGCGCCGCAATCTAGCAGCGGCGACAGCAGCAACAGCGGCTCTGGTAGTGAGCGCTCTATAGTGTAACTGTGTCAGATGGCGGTGATCATTGAAGAGAGCGGACGAGCAACGATGGGCAACGCAGATTTGAAAGAGAAAGCCAGTCATCAGAATAAGGAGAGAGGCGAGTCCAAGGTGGATTGTGGGTGGCTTAGTGGTGTATCAAGTTTCGCATGGGGTATGGCGCCAGCCGGGGTGGGTTTTGGTGGAGTGTCTACCAATTGCTCAGTGGTCGTCGTCGTAAATAGAGCCCTGCAGGCGTTCGGTAGCACGCCCCTAGATCCCCTAACTTGGATAGACGTTGACTGGGCGGGCGTTGAACCAGGCTGGGGGGCGGTTGTCAGGAGAATAGGAGCGAGCAGTGGAACACCATTGGACACTGGGGAGGACGCAGGAACTTCTCGAATTAGAAAGCCAGGGCCAGATGCGAACAAATTGACGAATCCCGGCAAGGGATAAGATGGCGTTAAGCGGATGGGGCGGACGATAAGGAGCCGTTGATTGAATCAATTGTCGTCGAGAAGTGAGACTGTAAAGTAATTATGAGCTAGAAACAAAGATGATATAAAAGGAGAGAATACTGATGAAAAAGAGGGTTGACGGCAAAGAAAAGGATCAAGAGTGTAATGAGCGAATACTCCCGAACAGGCGTTTACGGGATGCAAATATGGAATGTCGAAAAAAGCAAAGGAGAACTGGATGTTGTTGATGATGCGCAATTCCGGGAGAATGGCCAACTCGACGGCAGCCCTGTCAAGGTAACTGGAGCCGCGAACAAGTATCCGTACGTCTCAGTAGGCGAGTGGTCCTGTAATTGAGGATATAGGTAATGCGTGTAATACTCGAGGCGCGTGAACTTGATCATGGATTAATAAGGCCCGGCAAGGTAAAGTATTGGACATGAACTGTAGATGTTACTGCAGCAGGGTCTCGTGTGTTGGAAATTGGGGCATGTTTGTTTACATACTAGGTACCTAGGTAGGCAGTCATGGAGGGAGGCTCATAAATCAATCAAATAAATGGATGGATCCTCGGCATCCATCAAAACACCATGCCATGCCAGTGCCATGCGAACTGACCCAAAATGTTGCACTTACGGCCCAACCCGCAGGTCTCATACAGGTTGTGACAATCGCACCACCTGACCCCGACAACCAGCTGTCGCTGCCCCATTTTGCGCCATCTATCGAGCGAGCTCAACGCCTTGTGGGAAGTGGACCATATCCCAGCTTGACTCACAGGGCGGCCATCTCAACTTCTTGGTTTCAACTTTTTTCGATGCCCGATCCATCAGACCGCCCCGTTTCCAGCCTCTCCTTCTGATCCGTTGTCACGAGAACTGCCAACTCGACAGGCTACTACTGCAGCTTGTGCGTTAGGTCGTTTCTTGTTAGGCAAGGGTTACAAGACGACGGCAAACGAGCGTCTGCACTGCCCTTAGTTACCTTTGTCAAACAAACCTAGTTTATAAAAATTATCTCCTTACCATCATTGGCTGCTTGGTACTACTGAAGCGTCCGGCCGACGGGTCGACGTTCGTCACGACGATGGAGAATTCGTTCCCATGACCCTGTCATCCAGGGTCAGGGGTCTTTCCCATTTTTGTCTTTGCGCCTGCACCGGACCTTGCATTAAAATTGCAGATCGAGAAGAGTTGAGCACAACTCATCACCGTCGCCTATGCTGCACGTAATTACAGGTCCGTAGTAATTGCACTTGTAAGCTGACTTGCATATCTAGTTGACTATTGCTCTT